ATAAAATTTGAGTGAAATGGTCCTTTCTTGGCCAAGAATAGCAAATAATAATTTGAGACTTTTGATGTAATTCTGAGACCCCAGCCCAGAACAATAAGATGATTGGTTTCTCCAGGTAATACTGTCATGCCACTCACCAGGAAAGCTTTATTGCCCAACGAGTGAAACTTGAGAGTTCAAGAATGACCTCAAAAAAAAAAAAAAAACTCTTCATTGAACAGCTGCATAAAACAATCCCCATCCACCCTCATGCCCCCATTGGAGCTCCATAACATTCCTGAAACAGTTTCACTTACAGCCATTTTTCCATCCATCTATATTTATCCCAGAAGCTTTTTATGTGTTTATCCATGCTGTGCCATTTTCCCTTCTCTGTCACTCCTTCATGCCTTCTTCCTGAAATTACTGTGGATGTTAGTTGTGCTGTTGTTTTTTTAACCTTTGAAATGTAGCTATGAACCAAAAAATTTCCCTCCTTCCTTCCCTCCCTGATATTAGAAATTTTACTAGAATTGCCTTTCTGCTATTTTTTCAAGTAAGAAAATTAGATGCACATCCTGTGGTACTAAGATTTAGTCCTGTGTATTTGGAAAATAACCCACTAAATAGTTATTTTAAATGCATGGGCATGAATCTTGGAGAATTAACAAAAGCTTTCTTCCTATTTATTGAAACGTGTCATCTTTTATCAACCAAGATAAAATCACTGGTGTACTTGAAGTTAGCTGTGTAATTTGAGGCCCCACTGACTAAACTGGGATCTTATAATCGAAGGCTTAGCAATTACTCTAAACAAATGTGAGTTATCCTCTCACAGGGAAAACCTTTTCCATAGCTACAAAGGACATGTCTCACATGGGTTGGATGGCCAACTCTGATGAGAAAGTAGATGACAGAAAGTCAGCCTCATACCTTTAAAAAAAAAAAAAAAAAGGAGGGGGAATAACATTTACTGCAAATCTAGGTGCCAGAGGCCATGCTGATCACTATACAGGTGATACTCTTATAAAGGAAGGCAAAATAACTACAAATACCTTTAAAATTTTGTCTTTTATGGAAAATCTGAGGAAACATCAATATTGTCCAATAGAACCAGGAATTGGTTAAATAAGTTAGACAACTAACCTTGACAAAGGATATTACCCAACCACATAAAAATGAGTTATCTTTTTTAAAAAATGAGTTAAAATCTATACCTTTAAAAATGTAAGAATATATATATACTCCAAATGATCAGTTATATATGTATAAGGCCGACAATGATATCTAGAAGAATAAACAAGAAAACATGTTACATCTGGGAAGTTTTAAGGGATAGCTACCCTTTTGAGTAGTTTAAATATCCCACCTGCATGTTATTTTTATAATTTTAAAAATACAGTCACTAAAGCCTATAATGGCCAGGCTCAGTGGCTAACATCTATAATTCCAGTGCTTGGGAGGCTGAAGGAGGAGGATCACCATGAATTCCAGGCCAGCCTGGGCTACATAATCAAGTTCAAGGCCAGCCTGCATTATCTATCCAGATCCTATCTCAAAATAATAATAATAATAATAATAATAATAATAATAATAATGCCTACAAAGTTGCTGAAATGTTTCTGTGCTGATCCTCAGAAACAAGTTGATCTTCTTTTAAGCTAAAACTAATCTGAACAGATTTCCTGAAGCCTGAAACCTTAACTAAGTTCCCTACTCAAAGGTACACCAAACTCAGCTCCCAACTATGACTCAACCCAGTGGAGTATTTGCCTAAGCATTCCAGAGGATCCGGGGTGGATAGGTGATACTCACCGCCCCACTGACATGAGCAAAAAGCATGAGAAGAATTTGCTCAGAGGTCTGGGTTTTCATAAGTCACTGATAATGTGAATTATTATTTGAGATCAGCAGCTCTTAAAAACCAAGAGAAAGTAGATGAGGAAGGAGGGCAGAAGGAAAGGGTGTAGCCTTTAAATATTTATCATGAAACACAGCCTAGACTTGTTTGCTGGCTGTGTTTGCTTCATTCTTTTTCCAGATGTCACTATTCCCATTTTCTACACGTACCCATCTGCAATCATCTCTCCATCACCACCGCACGTCTCCATGACTTCCTAGTTTCTGTGATTTTTTTCTGTCCTTTTTCTGTTGGCTTCTCTGGATCATAAATATTTCTAGTCAGCGTAACAGACAAGGATTGAACTGCTCTTAAGCCCTACTCTGTATCTTTTCCTGGAGATATCTCTTGTCACATCATTAAATACAAAAACACGCATGCATTTTTTTCTTCCACATTTTTATTTCTCTGCTTCCTCTTCCTCTAACATCCCCGCCTTCTCTGCTCTAACAGACTCACTTGAGATCAGAGATTTACATACTCCCTCTAAGAATTGCTGTGTGCCAGGAGGTTCTTTCCTGATTGCCAAGGGCGACTGACTCCCTGTTATGATTTGTGTCTAGTTGTTCCCCCCAAGCCTCATGTGTCTTGGGACTTTTTCAGAGGTGGCTGAACCTAGAGTGTGTGGTGCTGGGATCAAGGGTGTGTGATTAGTAAACTATTCCACCGATGTGTTTGGCACAGTTCTGGCTAGGATTAAGGGTGTGAATGCTACACCCGCCCTAAAGTGGGTAGCCTACATACAATATAAGGGACAGGCAAAGGCTTCCCTTGTTGCTTTTACTATCTCATGGGTCCCATGAGTTGTTCTCTGCTATGCCCCTGTGCCAAGCCCACTGGGTTGGAGCCAGCCGATTGTGGACTAAAACACAGTTTACAAACTGTGAGCAAAATAAACTTTTCTCCTTTTACTTTGGGTGTCTGGTATTTTGTCTCAGCAACTAGAAAAGTAACAAAGGCACTCCCATATTCATCTTATTGCCCAATGACCCCATGATCTAACGTCTTTT